AGGTCCAGACCCGAAACATCAGCTTTCCTGCTCCACTGATGCTGCTTGGCTTGCTGTGTTCATCCAGCTCTACACCTTGTTATCTCGGATACTCCAGCATCGGCAGTTCCCACCATCTCCAAAAGATTTATTGAGGTTGTTGTTGGAATTATAATTTCACCCAAAAGCCAGAAAAGGAAAAATTTTAAAAGGGATGGTTAAATGTTTACAAATGGAAACTGAGGTTAATGATTCAGAGAGAGTAGCAGAAAAAAATGAAGCAGCAGAAACATAGAATTTCAAGAAAGAAAAAGCAATGAGAAAGAGGCATGAGAGAGAGAAATGGGAAAGAAAGGAAAGAGCGAGGAGGGAGGAGAGAGAGTTTCAGGAAAAGAGGCAGGAAAAGCGGTTTGCATTAAAAATGCTTGAGCTGAGGAGCGTGAAGCCCTAGGCCGTCCCATTAAAAGACCACTAGCTCAGACTTAAGGTTGGAAGAAACGCAGTTTGCAAATTTAGCTCCAAAATTTGAGGAAGCAGAGGCACAAGCTATCTTTTTAGAACAGGTAGCACAGCAGCTAAAGTGGCTAGTCCAGTGTTGGTCATTAGTACTGAAGTGTAAGCTGTCAGGGAAAGTGCAAAAAATTTATTCCCTCTTGCCTGAGGAAAGTGCAATTGAGTATGAATCAGTAAAAAAATTCTATCTTATATATATGTCTGTTAGGGTTGGAGGCGTACTGTCAGAAATTCCATACTGTTGGGAAGTGGCCTGACCAAGTGTACCTGGAATTTGAAAGGCTGAAACAACTTGCTTTTGACCAGTGGGTATGGGCATTTAACACAAAAACCACTTCTGAATAACTCTTTAAACTAATTCTGTCTGAGGTGTTGAACAACCCTATAACCTTTCCAATAAGAATGCATTTAGAAACTCAGAGTGACTGGGTCTAGGCTGATGATTATGAGCTGATTCTGGACTCCTGCTGTAGGACTTCATCTCGCATAATGTAGGATGACCATTGCGGCACTTAGGAATGTAGGATTGTGATTATAAAAAGTACAAGTTATTTTCTTTATTTGTAATTAATACTCCATTTCTGTCACATTTGAATGCTTCTGCTGATACCAGACAAAATGCTTGTCAATTCCTTGAAAGTAAACACAAATGAAATATTAACAATATATAAAAGCCATATCTTAAAGACACATCAAACAGTGCTGTAATAATTTTTCAACATTAATTACTTTGAGAATAATAGTACACTAGAGGCAAAACTTCTTAGACTCCAAGCTATTGGACAGTGAGGAGGCTTACAAGCAGCAGATGTTTTTCTGGAAAATATATGTGGATTTCTTGCAATTTTCTATCCATGGAAGATTGTGAGCAACAAGCCAGAGATTTCTCATTGATTGTGTAGAAGTACAGTTGGCAAAAGTTCTCAAAGTTTCAAAAATTTCACATGTTTTCGCACCACCTCTTCTAGCAGGTGCACCATCTCTGCAATGTATATCCTACATATTTAAACTTGGATGCTGTTTGTGGCCATTTTATGTAGAAATATTTCCTGGTACCAGTGGTGCCAGAGAGATAAATGTGCCCTTAGTACTGGACCCCAACTAAGTAAGTACTTCAAAGATTAGATGGAGAAGAAGAGAAAATTGTGGTTCAAAAGAGTTTTTAATATTGCATTGAGCTCTTGCATTGATATGTAAACAAAGTTGATAAATGTTATTTCTGTGTTGTAGCTGGTGTCTACATACCTAACAGTAAATAAATGAGTATCATGATACCTCACACCAGGCAGATGTGTCTTTGCTACATTGCAATTGCCTTCACTCTCACTGAAGCTACATCTCGTGAGCTGGACCAACCAAAAGTACTGCTGGTATCGTTTGATGGATTTCGATGGGATTACATCCATAGAGTTCCAATGCCACGCTTTAAGTATGTCATGGAAAATGGTATTCATGTAAATCGGGTTACAAATATTTTCATCACAAAAACCTATCCAAACCACTATACCCTTGTTACTGGGTTATATGCAGAGAACCATGGGATTGTAGCAAATGAAATGTATGATCAGGCCTTAAATAAAACCTTCTCTATGAATGGAATGGACATATATGATCCAGTCTGGTGGGATGAGGCATATCCACTTTGGGTTACAAACCAGATTCAAGGCCACAAGAGTGGGGCTGCAATGTGGCCTGGTACTGATGTTCAAATACGTGGGATGTATCCAACTCACTACATGATCTATAATATCTCTGTTCCTTTCGAGGATCGAGTGACTCAGTTGATTGACTGGTTCAGAGGAAAAGAACCTGTTAATTTTGGCCTGTTGTACTGGGAAGAACCTGATCAGTCAGGCCATGAGTTCGGGCCTGACAACCCTTTCATGGATAAAGTCATTGTAGATATTGATTTAAAGCTTGGTCACCTTGTAGAACAACTTAAGAATGCTGGACTCTGGAACACAATAAACTTAATAGTCACAAGTGACCATGGGATGACTCAATGCTCGAGAGACAGGATCATTGAATTAGATCTATACATTGATCGTGATCTGTACACATGGATTGATTTTACACCAGTTTCTGCTATATTGCCCAAAGAAGGTAAGATAAAATTTACGACAGTTGATTTTTTTTGATAAATCTTGGATTCAACGTATTTGGAATATAATTACGAGATCAGCTATCTTGGACCTGAACGAGGCACCTTAGAAAATTTTCTTAATGTTGATAGACTATGAGTTGTAGAAGATAATTGGGTTTTGAGTGTCCACATACACAAGTCACTAAAGGCTAATGCACAGCTAGAGAAATTAATCATAAGTATAAAGGAATATTTACTCAAATGGATTGGACATAAAGCACAAATGGGGGTTTTCAGGGTGGCATGATGTTGGTGTACCACCGAGATCAGTGTAGGGACGTCAGCTATTTACAATTTATAGAAATGATTTGAATGAATGGATGGGCAGTAAGGTTATCACATTTGCCAGTGACTTAAAAAGATGTGCAGGAAAGTTAGTTGTGAATATAAAGACACAAAGCAATATAGATAGGTTAAGTGAGTGGGCAAAGATATGGCAAAATAGAGTATAATGTGGTAAAATGTGAAATTGTCCATTTTGACATGGAATGAACAATAAGTATATTACCTACAGGTGAGAGATTGCAGAGATTTGAAATATAGAGATCTGGGTTTCCTAGTATATGCATTGCTGAAAGTTAATGTATAGTTATAGCAAGTAATCAGGAAAGCTAATAGTGTTATTCCTTATTGCAAGGGGAATTGAATACAAAAGTAGGGAGATTATGCTTCAGTGATACAGGGCACTGCTGAGACCAAATCTGGAACAGTATGTACAGTATTGGTCTCTCCATTTAAGTAAGGATGTAAATCTATGGGAAGCAGTTTAGAGAAGATTTAATACCTGGAACGGACTGTTGTCTAATGAGGAAGGTTGGACAGGCTAGGCTTGTATCTGCTGAGTTTAGAAGAGTAAGAGGCAACTTGATTGAAAGATTTAAGATGCTGAAAGATCTTAACATGGTGGATGCGGAGAGGATGTTTCTACTTAGCGGTGAATCAAAAACTAGTTATTATTGTTTAAAAATCAGGACTTACCTATTTAAAACAGATGATATTAGATTTTCTTCTTCAGAGGATCATGGAACTCTCTTCCCAAGAAGGTGGTGGAAGCAGAATCCTGAATTTGTTTAAGATAGAGGTGAATAGATTCTTGCCAATCAAGAGGATAAAACATTACCAAAGATAGGAAGGAATGCAGATTTAGGTTCACAATCAGATTAAATAGTGAAGATGGTTCAAGATGCTGAATGTGCTATTCCAGTTCCTTGTTCATATGAATGCTCCAGCTTAGTTTCCAGCTATCTTTCAACACAGACTTTTGAATGTACTTTTTGCACCAACCACTGATGTGACTGCCATTTTGTTTTGTTGCAGGCAAAAACAATGAGATATATGATGCTTTAGTGAATGCTCACCCCCATATGACTGTATACAAGAAGGAGGATATTCCAGATCGCTTTCACTATAAGCACAATAAGAGAATTCAACCAATAATAGCTGTGGCAGATGAAGGGTGGACAATTAATCAAAATAAAACAACTGGAAAATTTAATTGTAAGTATTTTCCTTTTAATAATGTTTCCTAAGATACTTTTAAAGAAATAGAAAGAAAATGTACAGACTTCTTGTTGGGTAAGGTGTCTGTAAATAAAGGAGGCAATTTCTTCTCCTGTGTCTAGCTATACACTTTTGTCACTCTCCAACTATCAAATGCACATTATATACTTTTACTTGGCTGCTTCAAAGTACATTGAGAGAAGATTAATTAATTTTTTTGATCCAAAGACAAAAAAGATCTTCAAAACACAAACTGCAAGGATACAGAACTGATACATTGTGGCACACGCATGAATTACACCTCAATATCTAAATATATTCAAGTGTACCAATTTTCCCTCTCAATCTTTTTTGAGCATCTTACTATTTGATTTCCATTGAAATTCTCTTCCATTCCAAGTGCACTTATGGTTTGTGAGTATTTTCAGTACAGCTTTATATTTTGGAATGAGAGACATTTAATGATCTTCCAAAGCTAGACTGAGCAAAAGTAATTGTTGTAACATCTTACTGGTTCACCAGTGTCCTTTTTATGGCAATCTTCCTATTTGGTCTCGCCCATACACTGAATTGATTGAATCCTGACTCCACGTTAAAGTCACCTAACAAATCGGTCAGTTGAATCAAACCATGGTGATCATGCCAGTGGTATTTGCATCCCAAGATTAAAATTTTTAGACTGAAGATCTAAAAGGTCCCCTGTTCAGTCTCAGGTTTCAGCAAAATGAATGCTTCCTGATCATGTCAGTCTTTGTTTGGGGTGGCACGATGGCTCAGCAGTTAGCACTGTGCCTCACAGTGCCTGGAACTCGGGTTCGATTCCACCTTTGGGTGACTATCTGTGTGGAGTTTACGTATTCTCTGCGTGGATTTCCTCCAGGTGCTCCAGTTTCCTCCCACAGTCCAAAGACATGCAGGCTAGGTGGATTGGCCATGCCAAATTGCCCACTAGTGTTCGGGGATGTGTAGGTGGGTTACAGTGGGATGGGTCTGGGTGGGATATCTGAGGGTCGATGTGGCCTTGTTGGGCCGGAGAGCCTGTTTCCACATTGTAGGGATTCCTTATTGAATATATAATATTCATACTGTACCAATTAAAATAATGCATTTTATAAGTTAATATCCCCTTTCTTAGTTCAGAGATTTACTCTTAAGTATCAGTAACTCAGAACTCCCAAATTATGGTTTGCACACAACATGGTACTCAACACGGACCTTATACACAATAAGAATTATACTCACACGTCCACATATGCGAGGTTGCCTGGGCTTGTCTGAGAGTTGAAATCGGGGCATTGGTCGGTTGTTTCTTGGCAGCTTCATCAAGCTTTTTGATCATATTAGCAGCTAATTCTTTGTTCTCCAGTTCTGACATGATTAATGAGATAATAACCTCATCCCTGCCAACTTCTTGGTTGCCAAGCAACCAGCACAAACAGCATGTTTGTTACAAATTTAACAGTAACTTTAACCTGATCAATTTAATATTCAATCTGATCAAGACTGCCATCTTGCAGGTTATCATCTTTTCAGTTCCTTTAATAATAGCACAGTTACACTGCATTGATCACATCATGACCTTAGAATCGGGATAGCAAGATCTTTGGAATTAAGTATCACTTAAAATTTGATTACTGCAAACAAATTTGATGTCCTTAAAGATTAGTAGGTTCAGTTGAACACCACATTACAGATTCAGTATGTTCCACCCTATCTCCCCATTCTCTTGTCAGCAATTGTTCCTTTTCCTCTTAGGTTATTTATGTATATCACTCTTAAGCATGCAGGTACAGCAGACGGTAAAGAAGGCAGATAGTATGTTGGCCTTCATAGTGAGATATTTCGAGTACAGGAGCAGAGATGTCTTACTGCAATTATACAGGGCTTTGGTGAGACCACACCTGGAGTATTGTGTGCAGTTATGGTCAGCTTATCTGAGGAAGGATATTCTGGCCACAGAGGGAGTGCAACAAAGGTTTACCAGACAGATTCCTGGATGGCAGGACTGATGTAAGACATGACATTTGATGATCCGCCATGAATGACAGAGTAAGCTTGAAGGGATGAATGGTCTACTCCATTTCCCATTTTTGACGTTTCACCAGATGTCATACCGCTCATGGGGCCAATGGGTAAAGCAGCAGATCGCTTAAAGACTCCAACCCTTTAAATCTAATCTAGTTTATTCAGGGTCTAGTTAGGTTTTGATAAAACCTTCCAATTCATGATTCTGTGGCTTCCCCCAAGGAATTTCTTTCTGGAAAATCTCTTCCATAATTGTTAGCTTCTCCAGTTCCTTGTCAAAATGACAGAGAACACCACAAAGTCACGACAACCCCACAAACTGAGCTATGTCCAAAACATATGAGAATATTCTGATCTGGAGTGGACTTGCGCATTTATTCCCCAGTTCATCGACCAGGTGGTTACTTATATTTCTTCAATATCCAGTTGCACTTGTCTTCTTTTAGATGGTGTAATAGATTTTATGTACTTAGTCTAACCCTTATTGGACCTTGGTCATATGCCACGGCTGCGGAGGTGTGGCGAAGGAGATTCAGTTAAAAAAGTGTCCAGTCAGACGTCAAATTATCATTGGCTTACAGGACTACTACTTCTTATGTTTATGTCCACCAGCTCAATCTGTCCTCCTCGAGTATAGTACTGGGACCAAACAGACTATACCATTGTCTAGGTTGCACTGTATTCCACCATGTCAGAATGATTTCTGGAAGGCTGTCATAACGTATCTCCCCTTGCTTGGGTATGCTGAACCAGACTCATGACTATTGATGCTACCTTCATAGCACAGTTAACTCCCGCCTTAGGCTTCCTCAGTAGCCTAGTAGAATGGGAGCACATTATAGTCGATTCTTCCATACTTCATCCCTCCAACAACATTTCCAATATTAAGTTCATACTTTGCTTCTGTATTCACAAAGGAGGGCTGCTGGTGGCACAGTGATTAGCGTGCTGCCTCACAGTGCCTGGGACCTGGGTTCGATCCCATCATTATTATAGAATCCCTACAGTGTGGAAACAGGCCCTTTGACCCAACAAGTCCACACCGACCCACAGAGCATCCCACCCAGACCCATCCCCCTATAAACCCACCTAATCTACACATCCCTGAACACAATGGGCAATTTAGCATGACCAATTCACCTAGCCTGCACATCTTTGGACTGTGGGAGGAAACCGGAACACCCGGAGGAAACCCACGTAGACACAGGGAGAATGTGCAAACTCCACACAGACTGTCGCCCAAGGGTGGAATCGAACCTGGATCCCTGGTGCTGTGAGGCAGCAGTGCTAACCACTGTGCCACCATGCTTGGCGATTGTCCGTGTGGAGTTTACATGTCTCCCCGTGTCTGCACGGGTTTCCTCCGGGTGCTCCGGTCTCCCCCTCCAGTCCAAAGATGTGCAAGTTAGGTGGATTGGCCATGCTAAATTGCCCTGTAGCGTCTAGGTGTTTCTAGGCCATGTGGATTAGCTATGGCAAATGTAGGGTTATGGGGATAGAGTGGGGGAATGATGTGTCCGGGTGGGATGCTTGTCGGAGGGTCAGTGAAACTTGATGGGCCATACGGCCTCTAACTGCACTGTAGGAATTCTATGATTTTATGAGGACACAAATAAAGATGTAGAAATAATGGGGAACACAGGGATTAGTGAGAGGGAGGAACTGAACCAAATCTGTAATAATAGAGAAATGGTGTTGGGATTAAAGGCTGGTAAATCTCCACGGCATAATAATTCACATTCAAGTGTAGTTAAGGAAGTAACCCTAGAAATAGTGGATACATTGATGTTCATCTTCCAAGGTTCTTTGGACTCTGGAACAGTTCCTAATGTAGCCCCACTATTCAATAAGGAAGGGAGACCAGTGAGTCTGACATTTATCATGGGAAGATGCTAGTCTCCATTATCAAAGATTTTATAGCAGAACATTTGGAAACAGTGGCAGAATCAGACACAGCCTGGATTTATAAAAGGGAAATCATGCTTGACAAATCTACTCGAAATATTCAAGGATGGAATGAGTTCAGTTGATCAGAGAGCCCAGGGAATGTGGTTTATATGGACTTTCAGAATGCTTTCAAATAAGTCCCACCTAAGAGATGAATACATAAAAGTGCACAGGATTCGGGTAGTGCATTGAGACAAATAGAAAATTGTTTAGAAGACAGCTAACAAAGAGTAGGAATGTATGGGTCTTTTTCAGAATGGCAGGCACAAGAGGGGTACCACAGGGTACTAATGACCCCAGCTATTTACAATATATGTTAATGATTTATATGATGGACCTAAACATAATATATTGAAATTTGCATATGACAGAAAGCTAGGTGGAAGGGAGAGCTATGAGGAGGATGCAGAGATGTTGCAGTGTGATTTGGACAGGCTGAGCAGTCAAATGCATGGCAGATGCAGAATAATACAGATAAGTGTGAGGTTATCCACTTTGGTAACAAAAATATGAAGACAGATTTTGATTCGAATAGCTGGAAATTAAGAGAGGGGAATGTTCAACAAGACTTGAGTGTCCTTGTGCATCGATCACTGAAAATAAGCGCACAGGTGCAGCAGGCAGTAAAGAAGGCAAACTGTACATTAACCATCATAGTGAGAAGACTCCAGTACAGGAACAAGGATGTCTTGCTGCAATTATACTGGGCATTTGTAAGGCCACACCTGGAATATTGTGTACTGTTTTGATCTCCCTATCTGAGGAAGGATGCTGTTGCTATAGAAGAAGTGCAGCAAAGATTTACCAAATTGATTCCTCGAATGGCAGGATTAATATATGAGGAGAGATTGAGTCGGTTAGGATTCTGTTCACTGAAGTTCAGAAAAATGAGGGGGGAGTCTCATAGAAACCTATAAAATCTAACAATTTTGTTTTTATTCATTCACGGGACAAAGGCATAGCTGGCTAGGCCAGCATTGCCCATCCTTTCCATCCCTAATTGCCCAAAGGGCAGTTAAGAGTCAACCACATTGCTGTGGGTCTGGAGTCATGTGTAGGCCAGACCAGGTAAGAATGGCAGTTTCCTTCCTTAAAGGACATTAGTGAACGAGATGGATTTTTCTGACAATAGACAATGGTTTCATGGTCACAATTAGACTCTTAATTCCAATTTTTTTAAAAATTGAATTCACATTCCACCATCTGCCGTCCAGCGAGAATACCACTAGTGCATCCCCATCCCCCCACCTGGGAATCTAACTAACAGAACTGGACAAATTAGATGCAGGAAGGATGTTCCCTATGGTGGGGAAAGTCCAGAAGCAGGGGTTATAATTTAAGGATAAGGGGCAAACCTTGTCAGACTGAGATGAGAAATTTCTTCACCCAGTGAATGGTGAACCAACGAAATTCACCACCACAGAAAGTGGCTGAGGCTAAAACATTGTGTTTTCACGGAGAAGGTAGATACAGCTCTTGTGACAAAAGGGATCAAGAAATATGGGGGAAGAGCAGGATTATGGCATTGAGCTTGTTAATCAGCCATGGTCATATTGAATGGCAGAGCAGGCTTGAGGGGTAGAATGGGCTACTCCTGCGAGCCTCTTCTACATTTCTATGTAAAAGACAGTGGGATTGCTGATGGTGGTAAAGGAATAAAGGATGTAAAATACATGTGATCTGAATAGAAGGAAATAAGTCAATCCTCCTGAGAATAAAGCTAACAAGATACAAACAACATGTAGTGGGGATGGAGTGGGATAGGGGGGAGGTCAAAATGGAAGACAATGTTCATGCTGTGAAGTCGTTGAACTCAATGTTGAGTCCTGAAGGCTGTAAAACGTCTAAGTGGACAATAAGGTGCTGTTTTCCTAGCTTGTGTCGAGCTATGCTGGAACACTAAAGTAGCGATAGGATGGAAATGTTGGCATGGGAGTAAGATGGTTTGTTAAAATGGCAAGCAATTGGATGAATGGGGTTATTCTTAGGGACACAGCAAAGGTGTCCTGCAAAGCAGTGAACAAGCCTGCATTTAGGAACGAAATCAAAGTTGCTGGAAAAACTCAGCAGGTCTGCCAGCATGTGTGAAGGAAAAAACAGAGTTAACGTTCCTCAGAGGAAGTGTCACCGGACCTGAAACGTTAACTCTGTTTTTTCCTTCACAGATGCTGCCAGACCTGCTGAGCTTTTCCAGCAATTTTGATTTTGTACCTGATTTATAGCATCCGCAGTTCTGTCGGTTTTTATTAAGCCTGCATTTAGCTTTGCCAGTGTAAAACAGGCTGCATAGTGAGTAGTGAATACAGTAGACTACATTGAACAAAGTACAAATAAACTGATGCTTCATGTGGAAGGTATAATTAGTGCCTTGGACAGTGAGGAGGAAGGAGTTGAAGTGAGCAAGTGTTGCAACTTCTGTGGTTATATGGGAAGGTACATGTGAGTGAGGAAATGTTAGCAGTGATGGAAGAGTGGAAGTTGTCATGAAGGGAACAGACCCTGTGAAATGTTGACAGAGAAGGGGAGGGAGAGATGTGTTTGCTGGTAGCATTCTACTGGGAGTAGTTGAAATGGCAGAGGATGATCCTTTGAATGTGGAGACTGGTGGGGTGGAAGTACAGGCAATGAGAACACTGTCCTTGTTCTGGAAGGCAGGGGAAGTAGTGAAGTCAGAAGTGTGGAAAATGAGTCAGACATGGCTGAGGGCCCTTTCAACCATGATGTGGAGAATCCTTACAAGAAGGAAAAGGTGAACATGTCAGAGGCATATCCGTTGAAAATGGCATCATCAGAACAGATACAACGGAGTCTCTTTTCCCCACCAACCCAGTGTTATTTTGGTCAACTCTACTGAGAATAAAGCCTGTTTTTCTCTATTCAACGCTACATTCTCACCTATTTTGCATTTCAATCTCAACTTTACTACCATTAAGCATTCTGTTTGTCTTTTGGTATGGGCATCCTTGCCATCTCTTCTACTTGCTCCTCCCCACTTTGGCAACAAAATAAAGAGCGTCATTTTCCAATCCTTTTCAGTTGCAAAGAAGAGTCATCGGACTCATAGCGTTAATACTTTTTCTGTCTCCACATTTACTGCCAGACCTTCCGGGTTTCTCCAACATTTTTTGTTTTATTTCCAGTGAAGTCTATCTGGATTGACCATCATGGATGTTCCACTCTTCAGCTCACTCCAATTCTCCCTTTGTCTGTGGCTTGGGTTGTTTGCCAACATACCATACTCTGATGTTGTCAGAGTTTGTTTGCTAGGTGTTTGCTGAGTTTGTCCAGCAGTTTCTCTTTTTGTTTCCTTCACATAGTCTTCTATATCCGACTACATCCTAGGCCATCATCTTATTTGTTTGATATGCTCCCAGGTTCCCTCATTCCCTGGATGCCATGCATCTGGACTTCCATGTAATAACTGTATCATTTCCTGTCAGTAGCTCTTCAGGTACCACCGATCTGTCTCTTAAATAAAACCTTCTGTCACTACTGTCATTGGCCTTTGTGGTCCTCTAGGCCTTTCTCTTCCTGTTTTACATGACTGATTTCCTTAAAAGCTAGACTCTTAAGTTGGGCTTCCTTGAGATCAGGTGTAGGGGCATCAATGTAACCTCTTGCTTACCCATAATGGCTGCCACTATTCTGGACTTATAGTGATCCCAAGACTACTTTTAGTACAATCACTAATGTGGAAAACTGAGTACTCTATATCCTATGATTGATTTAAAGAACATATCTAGAAATCAAAGGAAAATGAATTACGAGTGAGAATGTTAACAAGTGGTCTTGGAGTATGTCTCCATTAATAGCTATTCACCCTCCTAGCCGTATCATTGTCTAGTCCTTTGTTCAACTGTTCTTCTCTCTCTTTCAACTCTACCCCTAACTATCGTTTACTCCTTACCCCCTACCCAACCCTATCTTCTGCATATAAATCAACATTTTCCTAGTCCTAAGGAAGGGTCACTTGACCCAAAACTTAACTCTGATTTCTCTCCATAGATGCTACCGGATCTGCTCAGCTTTTCCAGCAATTTCTGTTTTTGTTGGAGGTGGAAAGGTCTCCTGAAACCAAATAAATTCAGTAACTAAATACTAATTTAATTATAATCTACTTACTGTGAATTTATTATGACGTTATTCCAATATGCTTTGAATTTTTAAATAATTATTTATCATATTGTTTGCAACTTTTTAAAAATGTATCAAGAGCGCATTAGAGCATCAAAGTACATTAATGCACGTCAAACCACACTTTCTACTCCTGTTGCTTGTTGCAACTGGTTTGCAGATGCATCTGTGTATTTACAAATGGATCCTGATAGCCATTTTTAATGGCAGGATCTCCTGTGTTGGGAATAAATACTCCATTCAATAAGATCTTTCAGAAACTATTTGTAGGATTTTGTGTAACTATGTGCTCATGTGAAATTATTATTATTTGCCACAGAACTGCTCTTTTCTTTCCTTAGTGGGTAATCATGGATATGATAACACCATAAAAAGTATGCAACCATTACTGATCGCCCATGGTCCTGCTTTCAAGAAGAACTTTACCAAGGAAACCATGGATATTGTTGACCTCTACCCATTAATCTGTCACCTATTGGGAATTGATCCAATGTCAAATAATGGCACCTTAAACAATGTTCAAGAATTATTAGTTAATGGAAAAGTGATCACAACTGAAGGTTCAGCTGTGGATATTGTATACCAGGATGAAATAAATACCAGGGGTTCATACGCTTGGCTAGGTATTCTCCTTGGTAGTGTACTGGTTGTTGGTTTTCTTATAGTATTTGTACAGCAAGTTACAAAAAGACAGATGTCTGGATTGAATATTCACCAAAGTGAAATGTCTCAACCCTTGCTGTCAAGTTATATTTGAGTGTATTTAACTGTTCTTTGATATAGAACTTCACATTTCAAAATACCTTCTGTCAGTTGTGATTTATCATCCCAAAATGGTATTAACTAGCTGAGAGATTGCAGTCATACAATATGTGAATTTAGGGTTATAGTTTTGTAGATATTTGAAAATGTATCTGTCAGATTGCCCTGTAGCAACTTGGGATGGTAACAGCACTGCAGAGGGTCAGATCTACTGGTAAGTAGTGCCAGTAGAGAAACTTGATTGAGTGATTGAATTAAGGACATTCAGCCTCCGATCTTTGGGTAAGCATCCTCCAAGTTGGACTTCGAGAAACACAACAACGCAAAAATCGCTAAGCAGAGACTGACAGCCAAGTTCCATATCTATGAGGATGGCCTCAATCGTGATCTTAGGTTCATGTCGCACTACAGGTGACCCTACCACACTATACACACTCACACATTACACAGACCCTCTCTCTCACACAACACATAAACACCCTCACACGCACTCTTTCAAGCATGCACACACACACACATTCCCTTTCTGTCTCTCTCACGCACACACACCCATAGACTCTCTCTCTCTCTCTCACACACACACACACACACATGAACTATTTCACCCAAGATGTTTGTGTAGTTGCAGATGCATTCTGTTCTGCTCAAAAAAAAACTGAGTTTTAAAACCCAGTTTAAAACATAGGCAGATTCTAAGTAAGACCTCACACCTAAAATGCATTGTCTGACCTGAGAAGTCACCTCTTGCATACATTGATAAAACCTTTAATTATCTTGGGACAAGGACTTGAGAGGAATCTGGATTTTGCATTTCAACCTTCCTAACTGATTAAAGATTCACCAAGAGGTGGCCAGCTTTAGGGTTGTTACCTTTCTGCTTATAAATTCTGTGTCTTATATCCTCTCTCTCACACTATGCCTGAGGAAAGAGCTGATGTCTGAAAGCTTGCATTTTCAAATAAACCTGTTGGACTATAACCTGATGTCATATGATTTTTGATCTTGTCCACCCCAGTCCAACACCGCCATCTCCACATCATTAAAAGGATTTCATTAAGAAGTATTTATTCAACTATCTTATGATATTATGATTAAAAAGTCATATAAACCCATTCTAGCAACTTGTCACCTGCTGGGCATCACAATCTAAGACATCGCAGGTGGAATTTTGTGATTTACACAGGTAGAATGAAGAGAGGGAAGGATGCGGTAAAAAAAAAGTGGTAAAATTCCCCAGTTGGCTCTCTTGCTACCACGCCTGCCTCCCCCAACTTAGCTGCAATTTTGTGAGGGTCAGATATGGCCAATTATTTGTCACTTAAGGACTGCTCTGTCCCACTCCCAATCTTAAATTTGAGGCTGGTTAATGTTGTACAGTGAGAACCCTAGCAGGTCACTCACTTGGGCCTCAGATGTGAAAAGGGTGAGGTCCCCCCTCAAGGACCCCCTTTCCAATCAGGTGCCCACTCCCACAGTCTGCCAAATGAGTGGGGTTGGATTAGGGTCTTGCCTCTACTCAACTAATGTTACTTAATGTTAAATGGCTGTGAGGCTACTAAAAGTCCCACCACCCTTTTTGGTAGCAAGGCAGGAAACTTTGCCATTGTAAAAGTCCTACCCTATATCTTAGCCAGCAATGTTTATATCCGTAGATCTTGTAGCATGGCTAACTGCAATATCCTTCCTGTTTCAAGCTGAACTGACCAACTGGACATCTTACCCAAACATTGGTTTTATTGTAACAGCACATGGTTAAACACTATAGCTGAGCGATGCAAGGATTGGGGAAGAAAAAGAAGGGAATGTCAAACTTCAATGAAGATGTAATACTTTATCATCAAGCCTTGGAAGATTAGTTGGTGACCTGTCTCCTCATAATGGAGCTTTAAACAAGAAAATGATTATTACAAGCTGTATTTTTCTATTTAAACTTCACAGAAACCATGATATGGCCTTTTCTAAGATTAATTCCTTCATTACTGTTCTTTCTTTGATGATTTAGAAGGGATGCCTAAATGGTTGTTGTATGATGAGATCCAGATCCAATTGTGAGCTACCAGTTACTTTGCAGAGAGTAAATCCTAAAATTGCAATCAAAGAGGTCCCAGATGGAATCTATATTCTTAATGCCTTCTGTATGAAGTTTTGATAGTTGTACCTATATTTTCTGATTAGTACAATTATAGTAATTCTCATCTGAGTCAATCAAAACACTATAACCAACATAGAAAATGCTGGGAAAAGTCTGGTAGCATCTATGGACAGTGAGATATGGTTCACATTTCAAATCCAGTATCATTTTCTTCATTAGAATTTTCAGTGTTTTGTGTTTGTTTCAGGTTTTCGGCGTTCACACCAATTTGTTTCTATTACACTTCTATGATCGGTAAAAATATTTTTCACCAGTTTTAAAAGTATAATTGCAATTATTGTTCCTCCTAAACTAGGAATTACTTAATGTTGCTTTGAGTTAATTCTAAATTAATCTGCTTTTGTAGAAAAAGATGTGTTCATATGTAACACCTCTATAGTTTTGTGATCCATTGAAGTCAATCAAGTAGTATGTAGATCATTCTGTGGGTGGAAGAAAGGAAGTTCTGATGTATATTGATATAATGAGATGGGCAAAAAGTAGCAGCTGAGTTTAAATATCTTAAATGTGAATTGAACTCAAAATAAAAATTTAACTACACTTCATGGAAAGTTGGTTGGCAGGGAAGAGCAGAAGGATTTGAGGGTTCAGGCTCACAATGACAGTAGTACATTATATATGTAATAAAAAAGCAAATGGACCACTAGGCTGGATTTTGTGATGCATAATAGCAGTGGAACAGGGGAATTGGATGAGAGTACCTTCATTGAAGCCCCAACATCAGATTCATTAGTAAGACACTTGAAGGCTATGCTAGCAGAAATTTGAAGATGTCTCACGGTTTGCTTGTGGTTTTGTAGGGGGTCCATTCCTTGTAAGCACTATGTGTCACATAGTGATCATGCATCCACAAGGCTTAAAGCCAAAACCCTGCCTTTCCTCTGACATCAGCTCTTCAGTAACCATCTCCCTGTGATCCCCATCCCAACCTACTTACTCGTCTCCACAGGTCAAGCGTTGATCCTTGGTGAAGCCTTTTCTCTCATCCATGGTCTCACATCTAGCCACTTGTGGCTGCAATCTGCCACAGGTAGAGCTTTATCCATACAATGAGGGAAAATATTCATTAGTATACAAGAAATCCTACAATAATTTGGAGTACTTGGAGAGTGCACCTTCCAAAACAGAAATTTACAAATAAACGAAGCTAACCACCATGTCAGTTTGTTGTAACTGTTTCTTTTTCAGGGATTTCTAAGTCTTAACAAAAAAAAAGCAATTTATTCATTTGGGACAATTACTATTTAGAGCACATTTCTTCTAATTCCTTTTGTGAGCAAAATGATTTAAATTGACCCGCTGTTCAAATTAAAACCTCAACTGCAATTTAAGTAACTTCTTTCATTGAAATTTTTCCAGTTTACTCATTTTGGAGGCTACATTAGTGATGAAACATTGGAGTGGTGGGGAAGGGTGCACACCGCACCAACTGACCTTCATGTAAAGAATACCAAATAAAGGTTCATAAGACAAGAGTTAGCAGTTTTTAAACTATCATAAATTAAGATAAATCTTCAAGGAAAAATTGGATGCAAATTTTAGTAAATGTACATAGAATTTGTTTCAACTGCTGTCATTTGTTTTTGATGTTTGTCAAGTCAATTCATTAAAAATATTAAAAAATTCTGTTCAGATTGTGATTTTGATGCACTGTGCTTTTGCTTGTTATAGTGAAATGGAGTGGTTAGTGTGACACAACATTTTTGTGCCTAATTTGAAGCCTTACTGAATTGTGACCTCAATGTAAACGTTTTCATTCAATTGTAATTTAACTTTGCATGTGAATTGTCATAAAACATTGGATTCTGATTTTGGAGATTATTTGATAAAAGTTAAATAAAGAGCATGATAAAAGGTAAAGTCACCATGATTTTACCAAACCATAAGGCTGCTCTCTCATTAGAGACAAACAACTGTTGGTCGTTTAACCTAACGGTCACCACAGCTTAGGTAGCGGGAAAAGGTTGAGTAGCAGAATCATTCAGGTAGCCTCAGCCAGTGCAGGAATTGAACCAATACTGTTGGTATCACTCTGCATTACAAACCAGCCATCTATCCAACTGAGCTAAACAATGGAGCATGCAGCTTTTACCTGTAAGGATTGGACATGGAACCAACAGTAAAATGATCCAGTAATTTTCAGCAACATTGAAAGGAACACTACTTCCATAACTACAGGCAACTGAAATGATGACGTAATTTCAATGGTATGATATAAACATTTTAATGCAAATAAAAAGGTCAAATAAATTAATATTTTAAAATGTTCATTTTCAGAATCCAGATAAATGAGAACACAACCAATTTCTGAAAGTCTTATTACTTTACAGTCATTTATGTACCAAAAATATCTTATTTTTGACCTTGAGTTCTAAAGCTGATTTTTGCATTCTAAATGCTAATACTTACTATTCAGTAACATTGGAACATAGTACATTAAAAAAGGGCAGAATTGTTAGTTATCAAGTGATTCAAAACCAGAAAACCCAAATGACAAACACCACCACTTAAAAATTAACCTTATTATTGTTGAAGTGAGATTGAGGAGATACTCAAGTTCAGTGTTATTACTAAGAGATTAATTGAAACAGATAAGATATGGTTTCTCACTCTTATAACTAATAATCGTATGATCAATGCTAATTTAAAACTACATATGCTATTTTACGAATCAACATTTTTAACTCAATTCTTTAGCATCCAGTGTGTTAGTGGCAAATAATTTGAAAAGTTATGCTTTGACTTGTGAAAAATTAAGAATCCTAGTCCCAAAGCAAATAGAACAGATGAACTATACAACAATATTTAGAACAGTTTTGGAATTTCTTTTTATTTTGACATTCTGTAAGTAATGGAGGGCAGGTTTAATGTTTCAGGGTTGTGCTCATTTTGTTTTCTCAACTTATACAGCAGTTTTTGTTGGATGGGAAGTTTGAGTGCTCTACAAATGACCATCAAAATGAAATAAACTAACTAACTGATTCCTTATTAAGTACAATATTGTTTGCACAGCTTATACCAAACATCTCCAAGTATAACATGATTGGTGAATGATGCAACTATCAGGTTGTTTTATGTTGAACAATTACAGACCTCATGTAGAACATGATCATATTGTATTAATATGTTGGCACAAGAGGGAAGTGGAAGATTGGAACAATGCCATTAAATTAGCTGTGGAATTATTTCTAGTAACATTAATAAGCCATACTTAATTTATAAGTGTAATTTTTGAAAAGTAATGGGATTGATATACAAACAGCTGAAGAGCTTTTTTTTTATTATTTTGTTACTTCCATTTACATAGTGCCATTCATGATCTCTCAAAACTGTAAAGCACTTTAAAGCAATTAAATTAATTTGAAGTGTAGTCAATTCCGTAATACAAGAATCATGACAGCTTATTTGTGCACAAGCTCCCACAACCATAAAATGAATAGTACATGTTTTAGGCAGTTGCTGACGAGTAAATAATTGGCCAACACCCCGGAAGAACTTGCCTACTTTTGAATATTTGTAACATATTACGCTCATACTGAACACTAAAGCAATTACTTCTGATCATTGTATTTCCTTTAATTCCATTTTCTTCATTAGTTACTATCTTGTATTTTTTCATTTTGTGAACTTTTAATGCAACTTCTCATTTATTTTCTTTTATGTTAAATAAAAATAATAGGCTTTGGCTTTAAATGTCTTCAATCAGTAGATGAAAGGCTTGAGATTAAGTTGGAACTGAGATAATGAATGAGTTCCAATATTTGTCACTACACCTTTAGCACTAGAGGATTAATGTTTTTGGGTGGCTTACCTCACACTTCTACATGGAGTTTACAACTACATTCAAGTAAAAAAGAAGAGGAAAATTTCAAGAAGTAAACTCCCATTTTCTTTCCTTGGAGTCACATATCTAGTACAATTGAACTTCTAACTTTGTTTCTATTGCAAAGTTTAAGCTGTCAATCGAATATACAACGGGAGTGCTGTTCCTGGAAAATGCTTGCTACTTAACAGGCTGACTTCTAATTTGATTTTACTGAGGTGAATTATTTCCTATTTTCTTGTTTGGCAAGTTTACCAGTACTTTTTTGTTTGAAACTTGTTAAGAATTCTCTCATTAGCTAGCATAAATGCATGAAGTTAACATTTTGCATTAAATTATTTAAAAAGAAACTTTAAATGCTCAAGATGTTTAAAGAATAATATAATCCAAGCAGTTAAAAAAAGTTAACATCTAAAATTTATACCATATTGCCTTTAACAGCTCATTAATACATACAATTAACGTATTAACAATAAATACTGTTTGCATCTTGTTGCCACATCAACGCTGGTGTCAAAAATCATCTTTACTTTACTGTTACCCACACAAGTTCCTCTTATAAAACTAGGTGGTTGAAAAAGATGCAAATGGAGTGTAAATGTTTTGGGACCACTTCCTATGCTGTGCTGGATTCAGAAATGAGATATATACATTTATTATATTTGATAGAATCTTGTCCCATCCTGTAACATGTTTAGTTGTTTGTGTGTGTGAGAGAGAGAGGCAGGGTGGGATTTGATCAGGCAGGAAGTTGGGAAGTTAGCATGTGGTGACTCTACAAACTTCTGCCTCCACTCAAATTCAGCCCATGGCAGGAAAACCCATTAATGCCTATTTAAAAGCCTCATCCCCCTGCCACTTGGTTGTAACTCTGCAGGGACATGTGTTCCCCAGTTGGTGAGACATGGCAAGTAAACTTGCTAGCTTCTGGTAGGGTATCCTCATTTAAAGGCAGTCAGAGGAACTTTGCAGGGCTCATTGTGAGCTATTCCTTTCACCCACAGCACCACTTCCCTCACAAGTCACCAACAATAGTCTGGGATCCAGTGACGATCGGAGATGATTATCAGACAGGCAGCTCTCTGCCCCAGAGTTTTTGATCCCTAGAGTTTGAACTGCTGGCCTGTTGAGTGTCTCGATGCAGAACAAGATGTGGTGAGCCTTTCCAAAAAGAGGTAACATAGGGTTCTCACCAATTGTCTAGCAGCCTTTAAGACCACTGTCACCTGCACAAGATTCCAATCTCCAGTGTACGAAGTAAAAGAATATATTCTGTATGATTCCTCTTGCTTTAACTATATAAAGTCATGTAATTAAATGCACTTGTTTGCTGACTCATACTTGACATAAACAGAACTAGAACAATATTGACCAAGTACAGGAGAATTGAATTATGGGTACAGTCAACATCCATTTGAGTTGTCATGAGATACCATGTTCATAACTTCAAGGACGCGGGTATTGTAGACCATTAAAGTACAAATTGGAGATTTTTTTTTAAAAAACCTATTTCCTCTGGATCATTACAATTCTATCAAACTGTTGTCATATTGCAAGCATTGGAAATATTAATTCTTATTGTCATAGTGGTTGACTGAGTTAGCAACAAAGAAAAGTGATAAATTAGTGGTAAGTGTTCACAATGCTCTTTTCAAAATAAGCTATCTTCAGAACAGTTAACATGAATAAAATCTTTAAATTAAAATCGCCAAAATAAATATTTACCGCTTTTTCAGTTAAAGTTTTTACTAAGTCCTAAAATGCTAGTCCATTTCACCCCATCCCCCCTTATAAATTCTATAAAGCTTCACCTCCAAAATATAACCTGTTTAAATCATAGTTTAGTCCTAACATTTACATGCCTATTTCCCAACAAACTACTTCAATAATTTTGTAAATACGCAGATAATGTTTTCAAAATTCAGTCCTTTGGCTCCTTGACTGCCAGCAGATCCAGAACCAACCTCAAAACAAACGACTGAATGCACTGTCACACTGAAGCAAACCATAGCGTTAGAGTATGCAAGTACCTCAAATGCTGACGTTATTTTACAGCATTATTCTCCAAAATATTTAAAGGCTTGTCCTCCTTTCTGCACTTTCTAACTAATCTATTTATATTCACTTTTCCTTTGTTTATATTGATCCTGTACTTCATTTCTTTTAATAAAACTGTTAAAGACATTGCATTTTGTGGTCATCAGGCTCCATCATTTCTTTCTAAATCAGTGGCATCTGGAATTTTGATAAATGTCACTGCAAAACCTAAAAGTATGATTAAATCCAATCTACATTTTTTTTTCATTAACATTTAAGTACTAACTAAACCAAGTGTGTCATGAAACCTTATTGCTATAATAGGGTTAATGCACTGACAAATAATCTCATCTAAATATACACACATTTGCATTTTCAATGCACTCTCAGTTTTTGGCTTTTTAGGATTGCACCGTCTACAGTTTCTCAAATTTATTAGTATTCTGAATTATAGAACTCAAACACACAATCGCATGTTACCCCAACTTTTAATTGTGAGAAATAAATTTCCAAACATTCCTAACAGATCTGCTATAATCAACTCCATCTCAGTTCATGAGAATTATTTTTGTATTGACTGCAGGTGTAGATAATCCACGAGATTTCTCATTTTATTTTTGCTTCATTTGAACGGCTTTCCAACATATCACTTCTAACCTACTATAAACTGCCTTGTGGGTTTGATCTGCGTACAGTCACTTGCAAACCCAAATGCATGGGAACTTTACAGAGTTCACTTCAGGAAAAAAAAATCAGTACAAATGGGGTATAACTAAATGTAATCTCTTTAAATGTGGTAGATATTAGTATGGACAAGAACAGATTTATGAATCTCATTATTTCAGACTAACTTCTGATAACAACCATTGTTAGGAGCAGTTTAATCGTTGTTACTTGAGAGATTTCACTAGTACAGCATGCAAGTTAACGGGGCCTGCAGTTCAGAGGTACTTGGATAATGGAAAGACAAAATAATTCTATTGCGAATATCTCTAAAAATAAAGCACTTTCCCTGCTGCCACACTAAAATAAATACATTTTTGTACCAAAAACAAAGTTGCTGGAAAAGCTCAGCAGGTCTGGCAGCATCTGTGAAGGAGAAAACAGAGTTAACGTTTCGGGTCCGGTGACACTTCCTCCTAAGGAAGGGACACCGGATCCAAAACATTAATTCTGCTTTCTCCTTCTCAGATGCTGCCAGACCTGCTGAGTTTTTCCAGCAACTTTGTTTTTGTTCCTGATTTACAGCATCTGCAGTTCTTTCGGTTTTTATTTACATTTTAGTACCAGCTTTTCACACTGGTAGGCTTAAAACTACCCTATTAAAGGATCATCATCATCGTCATCTTGCAACTGGAGACGAGCAAATTCATGCTGCGGTGAAATTCGCTTTTTCATTAGAATTATAAGGCAGGACAATGTTACCAATACCATTAAGGAGCCAATCACAATTCCAATTACATCTGGTAGGCTCACACATATCTCATTAGCCAACAAACATCTCACATTTGCAAAGGTTCCATTGTTAGACTCCTCCTTCAATCTCAGGATGCGGCACATTAATGGGTAGATATCAACACTGTTAATGGTGTTGGTTTTGTAAGCCTTTCGAAATGCTGGTCCATGAGCTACCATAAGAGGATGCATGCTGGGTAAAGCATTATCATAACCATGGTCACCCACTGAAGAAAAGAAAAAGCAAAATAAAAAATCAGTCTTGAAAATTCCAAGATATTGGAAGAGATTATTTTCGATGTTTGTACTCTATAATATGGATCATTCGTTGTACAATGAACACATGCATAAAGTTCACAGCACACACAGCTCAACAGGTTTATACATGGTTTATATTCCACATGATCCCCATGCACCTTACAAATCCTCACCCATTAATAAATCTGTTGTTACTTTCCCTTTCATGTTCTTATTTAGCTTCCTTTAAGTACACAATTAATTTCAGCAGATATTTCCATGAATATGTTAATTTAGCACATTGACTTTGAAAAAGTTAATACATATTTATGGTGCAATTTGTTTGACACTATAAATAATAACTATTTAAGTATTAATACTATGCCCTGATTTTCCCTTTGCACAGATGCCAATAAAAAGGTTTCTCACTTTTTGCAACTGATATCTGCTGATTTCCTATTCTCCAAGCTCCTTTTATCATTTTGTTTTAAATATCCTTTTTGTTTTTGTAAAGATTGCATACATTTTTCTAGCAAAATCTGTTTCTTCCAATATTTGCCAGTGCTCCTTTCTGGTTAATCATACTTAAATCTAATCTTCCATACATCTCTCAACATGTCTGTGTGCAACTCATACATGGGCTTCTCTTTACTTTAACAATGGCTCACCAAGTGGTAGCCTAAACATGCTGGTGTGGTTACTCGGTTTGGTTGAGGACAAACTGTCTGCACTGTACTATTAAATGTGTAGATAACAGAAAACAATATAGAGACCAAAGCTGTAATGAAGTTGGGAGCCAAATGTAATCAAAAATATTGCAATTCGGAGAACATATTGGCCTATACAGACCAGGGCTCAAGCCAGGATTTGGGAACAGTGAAAATGATCTGAAATAGAATGGTGTGCAACATGAGATGATGGTAATTTATTATCTTGCTGCTTTTATCCACCCTAGGTGATAGAAACTGTAGAATTGGGGTGTGCTACCAAAGTGAGATTGCCAATGCATCCTGTAGATAGTATATATTATAATGGGACAGTTTTTTTTTGGGGGGGGCATTAAGTATCAAGTTAGACACTGATCAAATGGACCGCACTATCCTGAATTGTTCCAAGATTTGACTGTAGCTGCATCTATACCCAGCCAGTCAAGTGGTAACTATTCCATCGTACTGCTGACTGGAGCACTGTAGGGAATGGAAAGGTTTTGAGGAGATTAGGGAATGGCACTTGTTGCAGAATGTCCATTTTTGCCCTGCTTTTATAGCCATGCTACAACTGGGTATATGGATGAAACAAAAAAATTGTGAAGTTTTATGATTTTATTACACAGTCACACACACAACACACTGAAGCAACACCAGGAAAGAAAGCTCAAACTTCAAAAACAAAAAAATACCCTTTTGAACTTACACTGGATGATTGATCCATTCTGAACAATTGTCCACCCTTCATCAGCAACAAGAAGAATTGGTTGAATTCTTTCATTGTGTTTGTAGTGAAAACGGTCTGGAATATCTTCTTTTAAATATACCTTCATGTGACTGTCACAGTTCAATAACAACTTGTACACGTAACTTGTGTCTGTTAGAAAAAAAACAAAATGGAATCACATGTTGAACCTTATGTACAAAACTGGTTAAAATGGAATCCTAAAACAAAAGACATACTGTATAACTCTGCTATGTACAATTCAGAAGACAAAAGGCACGTTGGCCTTTATTGCAAGGGGATTGGAGTACATGAATAAAGAAGTCTTGTTACCATTGTTCAAGGTTTTGGTGAGTTTATATCTGGATTGTGTGTGCTATTTTCATCACATTTAAGAAAAAAGATATACCTGCATCGAAGGCAGTATAATTAAGGTTCCCTAGATTAGTCCCTGCGATGAGGGGAGTTGTCTATGACAAAAGGCTGAGCAAATTGGGTTTATATTCCACAGAGTTCAGAAGAATGGTTTCATTGAATCGTACAGGGTTCTGAAGAGGCTTGACAGGGCAAATGCTGAAAGATTGTTTCTAATAGTTACAATTCAAAATGCAAGGGTAGTCTCAGAATAGAGGCCAAATCATTTCGGACTGAGATGAGAAATTTCTTCCGTCAAAGGGGTGTGAATCTTGAGTAGTCTCTGTCTCAGATGACTGTGGAATCTCCATCTTTGAAAACATGCAAAGCTGGAACAGACAGCTTTTTGGTCTCTCTTGGAATCAAGGGATATTTAGAGTGGGCACGAAAGTGGAATTGGATCAGCCATAATTGTATGGAATAGCATAGCAGGTTTGACAGGCCATGTGGTGTTTGGTTTCATTTTAACTTAGACCAATTTAATTTTCAATCCTTTCTTGGACTTGACTTACAAGTTATAACATGTTTAAACTGAAATAGTCATGCTTCTTTCCCTGGACACTGTTTATTAGATATCATTTAATAATTAGATGCACTGCACTTTATCTATAAAATTATAACTGTATGTTCTGAACTTACATCAAATCCATAACTAGATCAAGTATAGTTACTCCTAGCACATTTGATTACAATAATGTTTTCAAGAACAAAAGCATAAATGACATCATCATTTCCACAAGTTTAAGGAAAACTCAGTCATACTGAATTTTGTTTTCTTTCTTCATTCACGGGATGAGGACATCGCTGGCTCGGCAGCATTTATTGCCCATCCCTAATTGCCCAGAGGGCAGTTAAGAGTCAACCCCATTTCCGTGGGTCTGGAGTCACATGTAGGCCAGACCAGGTAAAGATGGCAGTTTCCTTCCTTAACGGACATTAGTGAACCAGATGGGTTTTTCCTGACAATCGACAATGAATTCACGGTCATCATTAGATTCTTAATTCCAGATATTTATTGAATCCAAATTCTACCATCTACCATGACGGGATTTAAACCCGGGTCACCAGAACGTTATCTGGGTCCCTGGATTAACAGTCCAGTGATTATATAACTAGGTGATGGCCTAGTGGGATTATCATTTATATACATATAATGAAAAATATAAGAGGCATGATCTTGTTTTTAAACCTGTAAATACAGACTGATAATTCTCAAAAGTAAATGTTTATTGAAGTAACCAAGGTTTAAAGCAACTGAAATAAACATTACAACAGAGATAGTAGGAACTGCAGATGCTGGAGAATCCGAGACAACAAGGTGCAGGGCTGGATGAACACAGCAGGCCAAGCAGCATCATAGGAGCAGAGAGGCTGACGTTTCGGGCCTAGACCCTTCATCAGAAAAGGGGGAGGGGAAGGGGGTTTTGAAATAAATAGGGAGAGAGTGGGAGGCGGATAGAAGAGGGATAGAGGAGAGGATAGGTGGAGAGGAAACAAACAGGTCGAAGAGGCGGGGATGGGGCCAGGAAAGGTGAGTGTAGGTAGGGAGTTAGGAAGGGGATAGGTCAGTCCAGGGAGGACGGACAGGTCAAGGGGGCGGGATGAGGTTGGTCGGTAGGAGATGGAGGTGCGGCTTGGGGTGGGAGGAGGGGATAGGTGGGAGGAAGAACAGGTTAGGGAGGCAGGGACGAGTTGGACTGGTTTTGGGATGCGGTGGGGGGAGGGGAGATTTTGAAACTTGTGAAATCCACATTGATACCATTGGGCTGCAGGGTTCCCAAGCGGAATATGAGTTGCTGTTCCTGCAACCTTCGGGTGGCATCGTTGTGGCACTGCAGGAGGCCCAGGATGGACATGTCGTCTGAGGAATGGGAGGGGGAGTTGAAATGGTTCGCGACTGGGAGGTGCAGTTGTTTGTTGCGAACCGAGCGTAGGTGTTCTGCAAAGCGGTCCCCGAGTCTCCGCTTGGTTTCCCCGATGTAGAGGAAGCCACACCGGGTACAGAGGATGCAGTATACCACATTGGCAGATGTGCAGGTGAACATCTGCTTGATGTGGAAAGTCTTCTTGGGGCCTGGGATGGGGGTGAGGGAGGAGGTATGGGGGCAGGTGTAGCACTTCCTGCGGTTGCAGGGAAAAGTGCCGGGTGTGGTGGAGCTGGAGGGGAGTGTGGAGCGGACAAGGGAGTCACGGAGAGAGTGGTCCCTCCGGAAAGCAGATAAGGGTGGGGAGGGAAAGATGTCTTTGGTGGTGGGGTCGGATTGCAGATGGCGGAAGTGTCGGAGGATGATGCGTTGGATCCGGAGGTTGGTGGGGTGGTACGTGAGGACGAGGGGGATTCTTTTTTGGTTTTTATTGCGTGGACGGGGTGTGAGGGATGAGGTGCGGGAGATGTGGGAGACACGGTTGAGGGCGTTCTCGACCACCGAGGAGGGGAAGTTACGGTCCTTGAAAAACGAGGACAACTGAGATGTACGGGAGTGGAATGCCTCATCCTGGGAGCAGATGCGGCGGAGGCGAAGGAATTGGGAATAGGGGATAGCATTTTTGCAGGAAGGTGGGTGGGAGGAGGAGTATTCTAGGTAGCTGTGGGAGTCGGTGGGCTTGAAATGAATATCGGTTTCGAGGTGGTTGTCCGATATGGAGACAGAGAGGTCCAGGAAGGGGAGAGAGGTGTTAGAGATGGTCCAGGTAAATTTAAGGTTGGGGTGGAAGGTGTTAGTGAAGTGTATGAACTGTTCGAGCTCCTCGTGGGAGCACGAGGCGGCACCGATACAGTCATCAATGTAACGGAGGAAGAGGTGGGGTTTAGGGCCGGTGTAGGTACGGAAGAGGGATTGTTCCACGTAACCTACAAAGAGACAGGCGTAGCTTGGGCCCATGCGGGTACCCCACCACCAAAGACATCTTTCCCTCCCCACCTTTATCTGCTTTCCGGAGGGACAACTCTCTCCGTGACTCCCTTGTCCGCTCCACACTCCCCTCCAGCTCCACCACACCCGGCACTTTTCCCTGCAACCGCAGGAAGTGCTACACCTGCCCCCATACCTCCTCCCTCACCCCCATCCCAGGCCCCAAGAAGACTTTCCACATCAAGCAGATGTTCACCTGCACATCTGCCAATGTGGTATACTGCATCCTCTGTACCCGGTGTGGCTTCCTCTACATCGGGGAAACCAAGCGGAGACTCGGGGACCGCTTTGCAGAACACCTACGCTCGGTTCGCAACAAACAACTGCACCTCCCAGTCGCGAACCATTTCAACTCCCCCTCCCATTCCTCAGACGACATGTCCATCCTGGGCCTCCTGCAGTGCCACAACGATGCCACCCGAAGGTTGCAGGAACAGCAACTCATATTCCGCTTGGGAACCCTGCAGCCCAATGGTATCAATGTGGATTTCACAAGTTTCAAAATCTCCCCTCCCCCCACCGCATCCCAAAACCAGTCCAACTCGTCCCTGCCTCCCTAACCTGTTCTTCCTCCCACCTATCCCCTCCTCCCACCTCAAGCCGCACCTCCATCTCCTACCGACCAACCTCATCCCGCCCCCTTGACCTGTCCGTCCTCCCTGGACTGACCTATCCCCTTCCTAACTCCCTACCTACACTCACCTTTCCTGGCCCCATCCCCGCCTCTTCGACCTGTTTGTTTCCTCTCCACCTATCCTCTCCTCTATCCCTCTTCTATCCGCCTCCCACTCTCTCCCTATTTATTTCAAAACCCCCTTCCCCTCCCCCTTTTCTGATGAAGGGTCTAGGCCCGAAACGTCAGCCTCTCTGCTCCTATGATGCTGCTTGGCCTGCTGTGTTCATCCAGCCCTGCACCTTGTTGTCTCTAAACATTACAACAATCGCTTTAATGATGTCAGCCCCACATGCTGACGTAAAGTTGGCCTTTCTACCTATGTCACTGGCAGGAGGTCCACGGGATTGGATGGAACACAAGTATTAGACTTTAATGGACAGTCACGTTTATTGAGGTAGAAAGCCATGTTGCACATGACCCAGTCAGTCTCTGTGCAAGATGATTAGGTTAGAATGGCTTTCTCAACATCCCCCCTGCTGATTTCAATTATTCATATGCACTGAACTGAAGGAAAAGTCCAAAAATCCCAGCAGCAGTGGCTCTTTTGACAAGTTGACCTTTTCTTTTTCAAAAATATAGATGATTGCAACGGGAAATTAACTCCCCCACCACCAACACTCTGCTGACTAGGATGGTCAGTAACCTGAGCATACTGATTTCAGACAACTGACAAAAGAACCGGAAGGAAGAGAAGAATTATTTTATGTAATGAGCTATTGTGATCTGGAATGCACAAACTGATAGGGTGCTAGAAACAGATTTGATGGTAGTTTTCAAATGTTAATTTGTCAAATACTTAAAAAGGAAGAAATAATTGCAGAGCTGCAAGAAAAATAGCAGGGTCTTGGGTCTAATTGGATCACACTTTGAAATAGCTGGCTCAGGCACATTATACTTAATTCTGTTTGATTACATGTTGATACTGAAATTTATCAGTAATCAACATTGCTTCAATATAATTTCTGAACCAATTTGAAGAGGTACAACAGATAACAACTATGGGAGGTGCCACATTGGTATACCAAATAAAGCAATAAAATCAACCAAGTCAGAGCAGATGCTCCAGTTAATGACCAGATTCAGCATCAAGCTGGGCTGCAAAAGAAGTGGGTCCTAATTTTTATTGTAGCAAAGCCTAGATACTCTTAAGA